CCCGCGGACACCCTGTAGTTAAAAACAGCTGTGTAACAATTATTATGTCAACTTTTGGACCCTGGGATTAAAATAAATATTTGCAGCTCTAACCCGGAGGAAGGGGATGATGTTGTCCTTGGCGATGGCCTGCAGGAGTCGGGGAGCGCCGGTCAGCGACTGGAGGCCTGCGCCACACGTTGAGAAGAAAGAGCCGATCACAATGACCCAGGGAGAGGGCCACGCCAGAGTACCCACCACCAGATTCCCTTTAACAGAGTCTCCAAACCTGCAGGAGGCACAAACAACTATTTACAGCTTCCATAGCACTGGAAAATAACAAAAAATATTACAACTACGCTCTTTTTCTGACACGTAACGCAGATGTGTACGGTCAGATACAAGAGCAGAAGTACTAACTTGTCTCTGAGGACCACCCCGTCGATGCAGGCTCCAAACAGAACAACGCTGCTCAGGTCTGGATGGACAGCACTCAGGAAAACACTCAGGAAACATTTGATTTGATATGATTGGACGTCTGAGTGCCTTTTAGAGATAATAGTATCATAAAATGAGCTATCAATTTAGCTTAACAGACAGTCATAAAACGACACCTACAAAGACTATAAAGTGTAACTCCACAGCAGCAGCAGCAGCACTTTGCAAGAACACACATTTCCTGTAAAACTGTGTTGTGATTGTGAACCCATTGGGGATATAAATGTGTGAATGGTGCTTTAAGTGCCTGGAAGTTGAATCATAATATATCGTTAAAGAGGATACAGACAATGGAGGTGGTGAGGATGGCGAGAATGGTTCCAATGGGGATGGATCGTTGCGCGTCTTTCAGATCCCCCGACCGGTTCGAACCCGCCATGATTCCTGAGGAAAAGAGGAAAATCATTTAGATTTATTCAATAAAATGTAATTTAATAAGTGTTCAGATGTTCTGCTGAGCAAAATAGGTGTGAAAATATTATTCAAATCATGCAAGAGAGTAAAAAGAAATCCAAGATGTTTGACAGTGGCAAAGATATGATGAACTGGATCCCGAAAGCATTCGCGCAAAGGCAAATAAATCGAATAAACACAGTCTGTACCTGTGACAGAGGGGAAGAAGATGCCCACCAACAGTGTGAAGGAGGTGGTGATGTCAGCGAACACATAAGGCTGATGAGTGGATGCTGGATGTGAGACAAGAGAGGAGTGCAGGGAGCCTTTCTCCACCACATCCCCTTTGCTGAGGTAGGCGCTCCACAGGTTCTCTACGAGGAGATTCAACACGTGCTTGTTAGTGATGTTACAAATGTATTATTCTGTAGTCTTTTATGTGGCGAGTTCACAAGTGTTTGATTCCCGGACGTACTCCAAAACGGACGAAGAAAGCAGACTAATTTACTGATTTAGTGCTAACAAATAAGGTAATTTTTTAACTTTCAATGAAGGTAATATTCATCATCCGATAATCAGGCACAGAAAAGGAAAATACGAGAACATGAAAGCAAATATTTGGCTACTTTTAACCGTCTACCTGAAATGATCCCACTGGCCAGACCGGGGATCCCTTCAATGTTAGAAAAATTGTTGGAGTTGAAGTATTCATCACAGGAGGCGTTGAGTTCAGTGCCCTGGCAAAAGCGCTTCCAAAGATATGTGGTCTTCTCCACCTGAACAGAGCTGGGGTCAAAGGTCGGGGCCATGGTGCTGTTTTCTAGTGAAAGGAATACAGTACAAGCAAGTCAAATAAAAAAAACTCTGCGCGTAACAGAGACGGCTAGAGTGACTAAGATACACTCCTACCGTTAATAATTGTGAAGTTGTCGTCCACTCTCTCCGGTAGCTCTTGGTTTTGCACCAGGATTGTTTTCCCACAGTGGTTGTCATCGATTTCATGGCCGCTGATGGTTCTGTTTCCCAGCATGCAAACACTGTGGACGGAAGCCCATCGGTCAGTCTAAACCTCGAGAGTTAAAAGGGTTTTTGGCCGGCGTTGTATATAGTGTTGTAGTACTCGAGATCGGTCTTGGTCTGACATTTTTTGAGGTTCTTGGTCTTGTCTCGGTCTCGGACTGGGCGGACTCTGGTTTTTTTTTAACGAGACCGGTCAAGAGCACCTTACTGATGATGAAATGAAAGGTTTATTGTGACTTGTCAGGTCAATTCAGTTTTGATAATATGATGAACTTTTTCAAGAAGTGAAACACAACAAGTTT